CGCTGGACAGACAGAGTTACGGACCCGAGCTGAGGGTCGGGGTGGGGGAGGGCAGGGAGGGGGAAGCAGGGAGGTCGAAAGCATGGTCCGAGAGGAGGGACTTGAGACGGGTCTTGGAGGGGGCGAGGAGGGCGGAGGGACTGGGGGACGGAGTTCCAGAGGGTGGGGGCAGAGTGGCTGACGGCCCGCCTGCTGATGGTGGGGGGTGGGGGGGTGAAGCAGCCCGGAGCCCGCTGAGCGGAGGGGGCGAGCAGGGTGGTAGGGGGATAGGAGGTGGCAGAGGTCGGGGGGAGCGAGACCGTGGAGGGGCTTTGAAGGTGAGGACCAGGATCTTGAACTGTATACTCTGTGTGATGGGGAGACAGGGGAGTCGGGAGAGGATGGGGGTGATGGGGGGTGGGGGTCGGGGAGCCCGGTGGGGAGAGGATGGGGGTGATGGGGTGGGGGTCGGGGAGCCCGGTGGGGAGAGGATGGGGGTGATGGGGTGGGGGGTCGGGGAGCCCGGTGGGGAGAGGATGGGGGTGATGGGGTCACGGAGCCCAGTGGGGGCGAGGGCACGGGCTGCAGAGTTCTGGATGATATGCAGCCTGTGGAGGGAGGAGTTGGGGGAGGCCGACAACCAGGGAGTTTGGGTATGAGGACAGAGCCGTGAACTGTAAAGTGAATACCACACGCACACACACACACACCCACACACACGCCTGTGTTTCCCAGCAGTCGTTAGAAACCCTGTTAGTCGATTGGGGGAATCAATTTCCAGGGGATAATATTCCCTTCAAAACAGTAAATAAATAAATTGGGTCACTCAACTGTTCGTGGGGACGTTGCCGGGCGCAATTGGCTGCCGTGTTTGGCCCACAAAACGCACAGTCACTACATTTTACAACGTGTCCCCGTGAAGCGCTTTGAGACGTCTAATAATCCCCGGGGATTATTATTATAACTTAAAGGTCCGTGATACCCGGTAACATTCCGGTCAATCTGTCATGTTCTGCTTAAACCGCGTACCTTAACAGGCTCTCGAACGAGACCCCGAGCTGGACGGACCCCCTCTTTTCCCCCCTCCCATCCCCCTGACCCTAGTGGAGTTCGTGCCCATCAAAGAGGAGCGCGAGGGGGATTTGGAAGCGGTGTGGGATTCCAAGCCAGAGGAAGAGAAGGGGATCCCGCGGAGACTGGGGGACGTGAGGGAGGGAGAATGGCTGGGGAGACGGTCTCTCTTTGTGTTCGACGCTGAGGAGGAGCAGAAGGGGCACGAGGAGAAGAAGGGGCATGAGGAAGATAAGGGGATAGAGGAGGTAAAGGTGAACGAGGAGGAGAAGGGGCACGAGGAGGAGGAGGTGAACGAGGAGGAGAAGGTGAACGAGGAGGAGAAGGTGAACGAGGAGGAGAAGGTGAACGAGGAGGAGAAGGTGATCGAGGAGAAAGTGAATGAGGAGGAGAAGGTGATCGAGGAGAAGGGGAACGAGGAGGAGAAGGGGATAGAGGATGAGAAGGGGATAGAGGAGGAGAAGTTGAACGAGGAGGAGGAGGTGATCGAGGAGGAGGAGGTGATCGAGGAGGAGGTGAACGAGGAGGAGAAAGGGATAGAGGAGGAGGAGGTGAACGAGGAGGAGAAGGGGATAGAGGAGGAGAAGTTGAACGAGGAGGTGAACGAGGAGGAGGAGAGGGAGAAGAGGAATGCGGAAGGCGGTTGCCGAGAGGTGGAAGCAGCCAACCCCATCTTCGAAGGGGGCGAAACGGCAGCGGGTGGACGGGGAGAGGGGACCCGGTGGCCAGTCAGGACCGAAGCCGATCCCCTCGGGCTCGACCCGGAGCGCCCTCCGGCCCCCGAGCCCCACCCGCCTAACCCGCCAGAGAGAGACCCCGACTCGGCCAGAGCGGGGCCCGGGGCCCGACCGGCGCCAGCGTCGCCCTCGCGCGCAATCACGCACATCGCCAGCCTGGCCGAGGCCTTCGAGGCCGACCCGGAGGCAGGCAGCGGCCGGGGGCCGCCGGCGGACACGAGTGAGGGCCCCCCGGCCGCTGGCCCGCTCGTGGGTCAAGGCGGCCGAGCGGGAGAGGCGCTGGCGGAGGAGGAGCCCCCGGCCCCGGCCCACCCCGACATCCCTCCCGGGCAACTCGGGGTGGCTTCCGCTGCGGAGGCCCTCGGCCCGGCTCGAGGGGAGCGCCGTCCTTGTCCTCCCCAAGCCTCGGGGGTCCCGGATTTTGAGTCGGCCGTGTTGGCGGCGAGGGCACTCGGACACGCCCTCCAGGTCGCCGCCCTTGGCGTGGTCTGCGTCACGGCCTGCGCCAACGGCAGCTTCCTCCTGTGCTGCGCTCTCGGCTTTGTCTTGACGTACCTCCGGTGATCCGGCCTTCCCTCTCGTGTGTGCGTGCATGTGTGTACCTGTGAGCGTGTCTCTCCCCCCCCCCCCCACCCTCCCCGATCCCGAAACACTGACTGTGCAGCCCAGCGCCCGACGTGAAGGGCACTCGTTGTGTAAATGCCATGTTGTTGTTGATGTTGTTGTAAGTCCTGTAGCTCTGGGGTTAGACCCCTCCTCCTCGCACCCCACAGCCCTGTAGCTCAGGGGTTAGACCCCCCCCTCGCACCCCACAGCGCCTGTAGCTCAGGGTTAGACCCCTCCCTCGCACCCCACAGCCCCTGTAGCTCGGGTTAGACCCCTCGCCTCACACCCCACAGCCCCTGTAGCTCAGTAGGTTTGATTCCTGGGTGGGACAGGACAGGGCGAAACCTTAGGCAAGTTTCCTTACTCCCTCCTCCCCCTCCCACACACACACGCCTATGTTTACGTAGCAGTAAGTAGGAACCCGCTTGTTGGTTGATTGGCGGATTGTTTTTCTGGGGGTAATGATTCATTCAACAAATAAACAAAAAAACAATGTGGTCACTGAATCCTCGACTGTTTGTGGGGACGTCGCTGGGCGCAAGTGGCTGCCTGCCGCGTTTCGCCCACGAAAGACACAGTTACTACACTGCACCGCGTGTCCCGCGAAGCCCTTTGTGATGTCTCGGAGACGTGATCAGGCGCCGGGTCACACGCCGGGGATTATTATTATAGTATTTTGCCCGCCACTTGTTGGGGTGTGCGTGCGAGTTGGACGTCTGTGTGCGTGAGTGTGTGGTGTCCTGTCGTGTGGTGGTTTGCGCTCTCCCCTCGCAAGCGAGAGGACCCGGGTTCGATTCGATTCTGGGCCGGGCGGGTTGGCTGAAACCTTAAGACGGGCCTTGACGGCGACGAGGGAGGGAGGGAGGGAAGGAGCCGGGGAGGCGAAGGGACTTGTGGGATGGAGTTCCAGAGGGTGGGGGCAGAGAGGCTGAAGGCGGGGTGGTATGGGCAACGCGGGGGACGTGGAGCAGGCTGGAGCCCGCTGAGCGGAGGGAGCGAGCAGGTTGGTAGGGGGTTAGGAGGTCACAGAGGTAAGGGAGGAGGAAGGCCGTGGAGGGACTTGAAGACGAGGACAGAGATTATAAACTATTCGCTGACTGAGGGATGGGGGGGACAGTGGAGTCGGGCGAGGATGGGGTGGGGGGTGGGGGGGGAACAGAGTCACGGAGCCCGGCGCGGGAGAGGACACGGGCTGCAGAGTTCTGGACGAGCTGTCGCCTGCGGAGGAAGGCGTTGGGGGAGCAGAGCTTTGGGAGCGTCGAGCCTGGATGTAATAAATGGGTGGATGTTACACCAGCAGTCAGTAGGAACTCGCCTGTCAGTCGGTTGGTGGATCGCTTTCCTGGGGTTAATAATCCCGTTTAAAAAAATGCTAATTTGGCCGCTCAATCCACGACTGTTTGTGGGGACGTCGCCGGGCGCGATTGGCTGCCGGGTTTCGCCCGCAGAATGTACAGTCACGACACTTTGCAGCGTATCCCGTGAAGCGTCCGTCTGTTGAGAGGCTGTACTTACTCTGCCAAGTGTGTGTGAAGCCACTTTAGAGATGTATACCCAACACACACAAGATTTAATAAATAAAATACAGGTGTATTCTTTCATCTTGTCTGCTGTGTTACCGTCTTCGAGTCCTAATTTACAAAGATTCCTCCCAACACGTGGAGTCCTGTAGCTCAGGGGTTAGACCCCCCCCCCCCCTCGCACCCCACAGCCCCTGTAGCTCAGGGGTTAGACCCCTCCCCTCGCACCCCACAGCCCCTGTAGCTCAGGGGTTAGACCCCTCACCTCACACCCCACAGCCCCTGTAGCTCAGGGGTTAACCCCTCACCTCACACCCACAGCCCCTGTAGCTCAGGGGTTAGACCCCTCACCTCACACCCACAGCCCCTGTAGCTCAGGGGTTAGACCCCCCACCCCACAGCCCCTGTAGCTCAGGGGTTAGACCCCTCGCCTCACACCCCACAGCCCCTGTAGCTCAGGGGTTAGACCCCTCACCTCGCACCCCACAGCCCCTGTAGCTCAGGGGTTAGACCCCTCGCCTCGCACCCCACAGCCCCTGTAGCTCAGGGGTTAGACCCCTCGCCTCGCGAGCCAGAGGACTGGGTTTGATTCTTGAGCGGGACAGGACAGGGCTTTTTCCCCTTCCCTCCCATCTTATTATTATTACCGTGGGGCCGTCCTCCCGACGTGAAAGCCGCTGTGTCAATGCCATTTTGTTGTTGTTGTTACAGTGTATCCTGCGAAGCGCTTTGAGACGTCTCGAAGACGTGATGAGGCGCTGTGTCGAATGCGAGGATTATTATTGCTGTTATTAATCGGGACGGCCGTTAAAGAGTCGTTACCTGTGTTCTCGAGTCACCTGCTTCAGAAGGGTCTGCTTGTCCATTAACGTTTTCGGTCCATCCCGAGAAAACAGAGCGAGAGAGAGAACAAGAGATGGCTGTCAGTTTCGTCGCCTTTAGCCGCTCCGAGACCCTACCCCGTTTGTAGCTCGAGTCAGAGGAACAGGAGGAGGCCATTCAGCCCCTCAGGCCTGTTGTCATTCTATTAGATCACGGCTGATCAGCAGCTCAGTTACCCGCCTTTGCCCCGTATCGCTTCAATCCCCGACCTAACAAACATCTACCCAGCTCAGTCTTGGAGTAAGGAAACTTGCCTGAGGTTTTGCCCTGTCCTGTCCCGCCCAGGAATCAAATCCGGGTGCTCTGGCTTATGAAACAAGGGGTCTAACCCCTGAGCTACAGGGACTGTGGGGTGCGAGGGGAGGGGTCTAACCCCTGAGCTACAGGGACTGTGGGGTGTGAGGCGAGGGGTCTAACCCCTGAGCTACAGGGACTGTGGGGTGCGAGGGGAGGGGTCTAACCCCTGAGCTACAGGGACTGTGGGGTGGCGAGGGGTCTAACCCCTGAGCTACAGGGGCTGTGGGTGCGAAGGGGTCTAACCCCTGAGCTACAGGGGCTGTGGGGTGCGAGGGGAGGGGTCTAACCCCTGAGCTACAGGGACTGTGGGGTGCGAGGTGAGGGGTCTAACCCCTGAGCTACAGGACTCCACGTCCCTTGATCCCCTGACCTAACAAACATCTCTCCACCTCAGTCTGGACAATGTGAATGGATCCACAGCCATAATCCACAGCCTTTTGGGGCAGAGAGTTCCAGATTCCCACTCCCCTTTGTGTGTGTGTCTGTGTGTGAAAAACTGCCCCTGATTTCTCTCCTAAACAGCCTGGCTCTAATTTTGAGCTCATGCCCCCCATCCCCTGTTCTGGATTCCCCCACCCACCAGAGGAAACAGTTTGTCGAGCTGCACGTCCTCATAACTGTTAACACCTGAAACCCGGGTAGCATGGCGTCCTGTAGCTTAGCGGTTAGAGCACTCTCCTCGCAAGCAAGAGGCCTGGGTTCGATTCCCGGGCAAGGGGGCGAAACCTCGGGCAAGTTTCCTTACGCCACACACACGCCTGATAATAATCCATCAAGAAAAAAAAAACCATGATAAATCGGGTCATTTCAATCCATGACTGTTTGTGGGGGACCCTGCGCCGTGTTTCGCCCACAGTTAATTCACTTAACCGTGTATTCTGTGAAGTGCTCTGAGGTGTCGGGAAGACATGATCAGGCTCTTTATCAAATGCAAGGATTATTATTATTATTATTGTTATCATTCTGATGAATCTGCGAGGATGGGGCTGATAATTATTCATAACCGCAGCAATTATTACGGTTCGAAAAAGGCCGAAACTCTTAATACCTTCGCTGTCCCAGTTCTCTGTATTAAGGTGATGAAATTCTTCCCTCTCATTAACAGACCTGCAACAAAATAGCACAAGATTAGATCAGAGACGTGTGTAGACTATTTATATTCCACGCTAAATCTTCCCCCCACCCACTTCCTAACTCCCCTACCCATTACCCATCTCGTCCCCCTCTCTCTCGCCTGTCTATCTCGCTTCCTGTAGCTCGCTCCGTGGTTAGTGCGCTCGCCTCGCAAACGAGAGGACCCGGGTTCGATTCCCAGCTGGGCAGGGAGAAACGCTGGGCAAGTTCCCTTACTCCACAAAATATACAGTCACTACACTTCACAGTGTATCCCGTGAAGCGCTTTGAGACGTCTTGAAAAGTACCTGACCCCTGGAGAAGCGATCCGCGAATCGACCAACTAGTGGGTTCCTACTGACTGCTGTTAACCAGAGACATGCGTGTGCGTGTTTGTAACAACAACAACAATAATAATCGCCCACAAAACACACAGTCACCACATTTACAGTGTGTCCCGTGAAGCGCTTTGAGACGTCTCGAAGGATTAATAATAATAATAATTATTATTATTACAATAATAATTATTAATGACAATTACCTCTCTCTGGCGGGCTTCAGGCAGCTCTTGAGCTGTCGCTGTTCGCAGGCGGGCACGTGCGCGTCCTGTGTCTCTCTCCCGCTGGCTTGCAGACGCACCGAGTAGTTTCTGCCCGCGTTGTTGGCCCAGTGGACGCCTTCCGGGACCTCGTAACGCGCCGCGAACTCGAAGCGCGCCCCGTCTCGCACGAAGGGCGGCACGAAGGAAAGTCGGAAGCGGAAGAGGTTGGTGTGAGTGTCGGCCTGGTCGCTCACGTACTCTGCCGGGTAATCGTAGTAAGTGGCCCAACTGTCCAGGCTGGCTCGGATGTGCACTGTCTTGACGAAGTCCAGGTTGAGGACTCGGACCAGCCCCTGGATGGACAGGGGATCTCCTTCCACCGTCTCCACAGACTCCAGTTCCACCATCTGCGCCCGGACCTTCTCCAGCAACTGGGCTAAGTCCGCTGGCAACGCAAACTCAGGCACGATGTGGAACTCAAAGTCTTCCGGCTTTGGGAGGTCCACCTCGCTCGGGCCCAGGTAGTCTGATAACTCGAACTTCTCGAAGAACTTGACCTCGACTAAATCCAAGCCCAGGCGGTCAGCGAAATGCACCTTGCACCCCGTCAGAGGAGGTTTGGAGCACGTCTCCTCATCGTCTCGCTTCTCCAAAAAGCTCTTCTTTCTGGGGATGGGGGAGGAGCGAAGGATGAGGTGCACCTCGTACGGCTCCTCATCTTCGTCTTCCTCGACCGAGCAGAGCTCCGAGGAAGGCTGGCCGACTTTGGGGACCTCTAGGTAAGTCCAATTTTGGGCCATGTCTGGTCGAGACGACTTATAGTAATAATAATAATCCTTGCATTTGACCCGGCGCCTTATCACAGCTTCGTGACGTCTCAAAGCGCTTCACGGCACACACTGTACAGTGTAGTGACTTGTGCGTTTTGTGGGCGAAACCGGCAGCCGATTGCACCCCTAGCGACGGCCCCACCAACAGTCGTGGATTAAGGAACTAGATTATTATTTTATCGGCGGGAATATCACCCCCCACCCCAGGAAAGCGATCTGCCAATCGATTAACAAGCGGGTTTTTACCTACTGCTGGGTAAACAGAGGCGTGTCTGTGTGTGTGCCTGTGTCTGTGTGTGTGTGTGCAGTAAGGAAACTTGCCCAATGTTTCGCCCTGTCCTGTCCCGCCAGGGATTCAAACCCGGGTCCTCGGGCTTGCAGGGCGAGAGCTCTAACCACTACGGTGTGGGATTTGCTCGCGATGGGAGGTGGTGGCAGAGAGAGGAGACTTGGAGGCTCATGTTCAGAGGAACGAGAGAACGAGAGAGACACAGCGAGCGAGAGAGAGAGAGAGTGAGAGGGGGGAAGAGTGTGCCCGAGGTTGAATCTGATACCTGATCTCTGACTCTGGGTTGGAGGCAGAGAGAGAGAGGGACGTGATAAAGATTCCCTGGCAAGCATGTTCAGAAGAGTGAGACGAGAGAGAGAGACACACAGACAAGAGACAGAGCGAGACACACACACACACAGACACACAGACAGACAGACAGACAGACAGTCAGTCAGGGAGAGTTCCTGTGGTTGAAACTGACACTTGTTTTCAAATCTCTTCACTCCCTGGTACCTCCCTACCCCTCCGACCTGCTGACTCCCCAACCCACTACCCGCTGCCTCCGCTCGGCTGGCACCAACCTCCTGCTTGTCTCTCGTCCTCTCCGCTACACCATCGGCGGCCGTGCCTTCAGCTGCTACGCCCCAAAACTCTTGTCGCTCTCTCCCCCCATCCCTCCGCCTCGCCCCCCCCCCCACCCCTTCCTTTCCCAGCTTCAGGCCGTGCCTGAAGACCTTCCTCTTCGACCAGCGCTTACGGTCACCTCCTCACCCCCCCCCCTCCCGGCCCGGAGTCGGAGTCGGGCTCCGTCACTGGGACGCTACCCTGCGTTGAGCGAGGGGCGCTATGTAAGTGCAGGCTGTTGTTGACTGTTAGGTGAGGAGAAAGAGAACGACAGAGACTAAGAGGGAGAGAGATCTTGAGGTTGAAACTGACATTGATTGTTAAGAGGAACGAGAGAATGAGAGAGAACGAGAGAGAGAGAGAGAGAGAGAAAGACAGAGGTTGAAACTGATACCGACTTTGATACCACACGCATTTGAAAGCAACGTCCCTGGATGGAGTTAAAAGAGGAATATTGGTACAGACACCGAGAGAGGCAGACAGACAGACAAGACAGACAGACAGAGAGAGACAGAGCGAGAGAGAGAAAGACACAGAGATAGAGACAGACAGAGAGAGGAGAGAGAGAGAGAGAAATTGCTTTGAATCCAATCCAGGTAAAGGGCAGAGATAGGGCGCCTCACTCAGGAATAACACACATGTGAATACACGCACACAGCCGCCAACCATCCAGGTTAACCTGAATTAACTAAGATTAACCTCATTACGATTAATTAATCGCACGCCCTGAGGTCCCCCAACCCGCGCCTCGGTATTCCACAACAACAATAATAATAATCCCTGCATTTGATCTCACGCCTCATCACGCCGTCGAGAACGTCTCACAGCGCTTCCCGGGACACACTGTATTGTACCAAGCGAATTGACTTGGAATTCTTTTGTGGGCGAAGCGCGGCAGCTGACCGCGCCCAGCGACGTCCCCCGCAAACAGTCGCGGGTTGAGCGATAACAACAACCACCACATTATTATTGTTGTTGTTTTGGAGGGATTATTACCCCCCGCCCGGAAAGTGACCCGCCAATCGACCATCGAGCGGGTTCCTACTGACTGCTGGGAATCACAGGCGCGCGCGTGTGTGTGTGTGCGTGTGATTGCGCGCGTGTAAAAAAAATTTGCCTGATGTTTCGTCCTGTCCCGCCCGGGGAACGCGACGATTATTATTAAGCTGACGGGTTTCCGCGTGTGGCAGACACCTAGCTGGCCCAAGAAGAAAATAAAATGGGGGCGTGGTGGAGCGACGATAACCCTCGCATTTGACCCCGGCGCCTCGTCGAGACGTCTCAAAGCGCTTCACGGGCAAACGCGGCAGCCCACTGAGCCCAGTGCCGTTTCCCCCCCCACGCAAACAGTCGTGGATCGAGCAGACCGCGTTGCTGTGCAAGCCGAGAGAGCGCGACCCCTCAACGGAACGCCTTCACCCGAAAGAAAAGGTTAGCAGCAGCAGGTAAGACAAACCGGGGGCAGGCACGGAAAATGTGTTCCGTGCGTGAGAGGGGGGAGTCCGTGTAGAGCGGAGAGTACGTCAAAAGGCACGAGGGGACCTGCCGCGGTTTAAAGATATCTCTGTCTCGCTCGCTCGCACACACGCACGCACGCTCGCTCGCTCGCGCCCGCCAGACGTTGAGCTGTGTTGCCAAACTCACACCTCGCTCGGGCCACTGAACCCCCCACCCCCCACCGTTTAATTCCGCCACGCCAACTGTCCCTCGCGAACCTCGCGTTTGACACAGCGCCTTATCGCGTCTTCCGGACGTGTCGGAGAGCTTCACGGGTGAGGCTGTCGGGGGTAGTGGCCGTGCGTTTTGTGGCCGAAATACGGCAGCCGGTTGCGCCCGGCAGCGTCCCACACGCTGAATACGTATCGCGCTCTGTAACTCTCTCTCTCTCTCTCACCGTGTGCGTGTCTCTCTCTCTCACTGTGTGTCTCTCTCTTCTCTTTCACCATGTGTGTCTGTCTCTTTCTCACCTTGTGCGTCTCTCTCTCACACTGTGTGCATCTCTCTCTCTCTCGTGTGTGTCTCTCTCTCACATGAATGTCTCTCTCACACGTGTGTGTGTGTGTGTCTCTCTCTCTCACATGTGTGTACGTCTCTCTCTCTCTCTCTCGCGTGCTTGTGTGTGTGTCTCTCTCTCTCTCATTGGGTGTGTCTCTCTCCATCACCGTGCGTCCGTCTCTCTCTCTCTCCCTGTCTTAACTGCCTACGATCTTTGACCGCAAAAAATTACGAAACCTCCCCCCCCTCAAAAAAAAACCCCGAGAGAAATATTTGAGAGATAACACAGATTAGAAAGGGCAATGCGCACGTTAAATATTTCCGCTTTAAGAGTCGATTTGAATACCGCAACTCGGATTTTTTTTTTTTGAAACGCGACATTAAAGGCTTTCGCAACCAAAGGTTATTTTTTGCAGTTAGCTGATTTTTTCTTTGCTCTACCTATAAATCCAAAGTGTTTTCGACCCCGTTCTCTCTTTAAACCCCCCCCCCTCCCCCCCCCACCCCCCCCCGTTTCTTCAAGTTCGTTCCTCCACCCGTCGCTCCAGGGCTCATTCGAGACACGCAAGGGTGAGTAACGGATCGAACTATTTCCCCCCTCCGATGTTAATGACAATAACAATAATAATAATCCTTGCGTTCGATGCAGCAGCGCCTTATCGCGTCGTCCAGACGTCTCAAAGCGCTTTGCAGAATAATAATAATCCTTGCATTCGAGACAGCTGCTAATTGCGTCGTCGAGCTGTCTCGAAGCTCTTCGCCATATACACCGTAAAGTTTTAGCGTGTACTTTTGTGAGCCGAACGCGGCTGCCAATTAATTGCGCACAGCAGTGTCCCACAAACAGTCGTGGATTGAACGACCAATTTATTATTACACATATATATATTTGGAGGGTTTATAAGCGATCCACCAATCGACTAACAAGTGGGTTCCTGCTTACTGCTGGTTAAACAGACGTGTGTGTCTGTGGGGAGTAAGAACACCGAACCCGGGGCCTCTGACTTGCGAGGCGAGGGGTCTAACCCCTGAGCTACAGGGGCTGTGGGGTGTGAGGCGAGGGGTCTAACCCCTGAGCTACAGGGGCTGTGGGGTGTGAGGTGAGGGGTCTAACCCCTGAGCTACAGGGGCTGTGGTGAGGTGCACATAGCAGAATAGTCTTGTGTAGGTGAGCACCGGTTTCTTTAATAGTAATCCTGGCGTTTGACCCGGTGCCCGATCACGTCGTCGAGACGTCTCAAAGCGCTTCACGGGACACGCTGTGAAGTGGAGTGACTGTGCATTTTGTGGGAGAAGCAGCTTGCGCTTTCTGGTTTGGTCGTAAAGTTTTCTGTGATGAAAGAAAAAAAAAATCGCTAAAAATGTCCGAGATATTTATTGTAAATGTTTGTTAATTGTGGATCAGTCGCTTGTACTCTCTCTCTCTCTCTCTCCCGCAATGTCTCGGCCCACAGATAAAAACACTCTCTCGCTTCGCGGCTGTTTGCGGGGACGCTCACTGTGCGCAAATCAGCTGCCGCGTTAAACACACAGTCACCACGCTCTGCAGCGAGACCGTGATGCGCTTCGGGAAGTCCGACTTGATGTGAAAGGCACCGAGGCTTAAAGCCCAGGCACAATTATACGTGCAGAGGAATCTGCTCAAAGGACTTCAAAAGACAGCGCTGTTAAAAACAAAAAAAAGAAATCGTGTCTCAAACTCCAGGGCAATCTTTTCCTTGAAAATAAGGCACTTCGACTGACGGTAACCGACGTTAATTATAATCCCCTCTTCCACGTCGGGAGGGGATTCGCTGTAAAGAGCAGCGACTGCCACAGGAACAATCCGTGCGTTTGATGCAGACGTCTCGAAGGCCCTTCGCGGGATGCTCCGCAAAATGAATTGACTGCCCGTTTTGCGGGCGAAACCGCGGCAGACAGTTTGCGCGCAGCCACGGAGCGCAAACGGAGCGAGGCATTTTATTTGGGGGATTGTTGGCCAGGACACCGGGAGAGAGGGAGAGAGAGAGAGAGAGAGAGAATCTCCCTTCTCTTTTCAAATAGAACTGCGAGAGATCTTTAACGTGTAACTCAGAAATGCTTTGAGCCTTAAATAATTCAATTTCTTCCTCTTTCTTGGGATAGGGTTTGTTTTCGCGGGATTAAAACTCGAGAGAGAGAGAGAGAGAGAGAGAGGGAGAGCGCCGCAGTGTCAGAGACGCCGTTTTTCGACTGAGACGTTAAGCCTTACTCACGCCCCGTCCCGCGCCGTTAAGTCCCGTAGCGTAAAGGTTAGTGCGCTCACATCGCAAGCCAGAGGATCCGGGTTCCATTCCTGGGAGTGTGGACGGACGCACAGTGTAGAGGGAGCTTTACTGTGCCTCTAACCTGAGATTAAATCTCTCTGCCTCAGCCCTGCAGTTAACATGAACCACCGTCTAACACCTGCACGCACGACTTGCGAAGCTAATCAGGGGAATCCCAGAACGGAGCACACTTTCACTTAAATAATATCTTTCTTGGTAACCGTGATTTTAATTTTCCACCCAGAGAGGCTTGTGCTGCGCGTTCTGTTTCCAGAAAGTTGTCTCAGAACTCTGCAGCTTGTGTCCTCACCCCCCCCCCACCCACCCCCACCACTAAGCCTGAGAGTTCGCAGCCCTGTACCGTAGTGGTTGCCTCGCAAGCCTCGCGAGACGACCTGGGTTCGATTCGCGCCCGGGACGGGGCAAAACCTTTGGCAAGTTTCCGTACTGCACACACATACCTCACAGTCAGTCGGAAGCCGCCCGTTAGTCGATAGCTTTCCGAGGGCAATAATCCCTCCAAAAGAACATTAATAATAATAATGCGGTCACTCAATCCACGGCTGTTTGTGGGGACGTCGCCGGGCGCGATCGGCTGCCGCCTTTCGCCCACGAAACACAGTCACTGCACTTCAGTGTATCCCGTGAGCGCTTTGAGACATCTCGAAGACGTGATCGGGCGCCGGGTCAAACCCCGGGGATTATTATTATTATTATCTTATTATTATATCCTGTGAAGCGCTGTGAGAAGTCCTTTTAAATTCATTGTATTTTGGAGGGATTATTACGCCCGGAAAGCGATCCACCAATTGACTAACAAGTATTTACTGCTGGTAAACAGTGTGTGGTGTATGCGCGCGTGTGTAGTAAGGAAACTTGCCTAAGATTTCGCCCTGTCCCGGCCAGGAATCAAGCCCGAGTCCCCTGGTTCGCTCGCCAGGCGAGCGCTCTAACCACTACGCCACAGGACGCCTGATATAAATGATTTTATTGCTGCGTTTCAGCTCCGAGGAGATCCCGTTTGGTGTTTCTGTGCGTGGGGGTTGATACAATGAAGGAGACAGAGAGATTATCGTTGAGCGGGAGAATATCTGGAGAGGAGAATAACGGTCTGACACAGAAAAACATACCGTCGGCTTTTATACAGGTACCAGCAATATTACTGTCACTTGTGTGTCAGCCTCTCTCTCTCTCTCTCTCTCTCTCGCAACTGCGTCAGATGGTTGTGGGTTCAAGCCCCCACCCCCACACACACACACACTCGGGAGGGGGAGAGAGGGAGAGAGAGTCGCTTTGTCAGAGACGTGTGTGTGTGTGTCTGTATGTGTGGAGTTAAGAAAACTTGCCTACGGTTTCTCCCTGTCCCGCGTGGCAATCAAACCCAGGTCCTCTCGCTTGCTTGCGAGGCGAGCGCGCTAACCACTGAGCTACAGGACTCCCCAAATAATAATAATAATAATCCTTGTATTCGACCCGGCGCCTTATCACGTCGTCGAGACGTCTCAAAGCGCTTCCGCGGACGCACTGTAAAGTGAATTGTCTGTATATTTTGTGGGCGAAATACATCAGATGCACAGCTTATTATTATGATTATTAATTACTGTTTAATCAATTGCAGACGGACACAGCCTCTCAGCACTCCATTCAGTTGAGTCCTCTGCATTATCAAATGTTACGTCTATTTGGACATGAATCTCTCTCTCCTCACCCCACGTCCCAAGGTAATGAATAAAGCTCTCTCTGCCACCATTGGTGTCAGCCCAGCTCTCTCTCTCTCTCTCTCTGTCGGTCGCCTCCGAGTCAGAAGGGTGTGGGCTCGGGCCCCACGTCCCCCGCGCAAAACACGCAGTCACTGCACTTCACAGCGAAACTCCGCAAAGACGCGTCGAGAAACGAAGACGCGTCTCTCAAACAATCTTAACATTCTCTCTCACTTAGCGTACGAGTGTGTGTGTGTGTGTGTCTCTCTCTCTTATATAGTCTTACTATCTGACAGAGTCAGAGAGAGAGAGAGGTACACAAAGACTGGCAAGATTCCTTACTCCACACACACACACACACACACGCACAGACACGCGCGCCGGTGTTTCCCAGCAAGTCAGTAGGAACCCGCTTGTCAGTCCATTGGGGAGGAAGAATCGCTTTCCGGGGCTAGTAATCCCTTCAAAAAAAATAATAATTCATCTGGTGACTCAATCCACCCCCGGCTGTTTGTGGGGACGTCGCCGGGCGCGATCGGCTGCTGCGTTTCGCCCACAAAAAAAACAACAGCCACTACGCTTTACCCCGTGTCCCCGGTGAAGCGCTCTGAGACGTCTCGAAGACGTGATCGGGCGCCGGGTCAAACCCCCCCCCAGGAGAGGGCAGGGGGGGGGGGGATTTTTATCATGATGATTTACCACCGTTTCGATCGCAGGGTGTTTGTGGAACGCACCGTTTTGGGGCCAGTCACCAGAGTCGGGGGGCAACGTCCTGTCCAGCCCGTCCCACGCCCTCCCCACCCCCGTCTCGGCCTCACCGCTCGTTTTTTACTGCAGCCCCATCAACGGGCTGAACCCCCCCTGGGGGGGGAGCAGGTGAGCGTCTCTTTGGTCTCATTCCCTTTCGCTTTGATTTCCTCGCTTCCGTTGCTCTCTCTCTCTCTCTCTCACGCCCACAGCTGTCCAGCGCCTTGGGACGTCCTCTCTGTCTGTCTGTCCGTCCGTCTCTCTGTCCATCCGTCCGTCGCTCTGTCCGTCGCTCTGGCTATCTGTTTGTCTATATGTCAGTCCGTCCATCTGTCTCTCCGTCTCTCTCTCCCTATCTGTCCCCCTCTCTCTCTCCGTCTGTCCCCCTCTCTCTCTCTCTGTCTGTCTGTCTGTCTGTCCCCCTCTCTCTCTGTCTGTCTGTCTGTCTGTCTGTCCCCCTCTCTGTCTGTCTGTCTCCGTCTGTCTGTCTGTCCCCTCTGTCTGTCTGTCTCCCTCTCTGTCTGTCTCCCTCTCTGTCTGTCCCCCTCTCTGTCTGTCCCCCTCTCTGTCTGTCCCCCTCTCTGTCTGTCCCCTTCTCTGTCTGTCCCCTTCTCTGTCTATCTGTCTGTCTGTCTGTCTGTCTGTCCCTGTCTGTCCCCCTCTCTCTCTCTCTCTCTCTGTCTGTCCGTCTCTCTGTCCCTGTCTGTCTCTCTGTCCCTGTCCGTCCCCCTCTCTCTCTCTATCCGTCTTTCTCGTGTATGTCTTTCTCTGCCTCATAGTCTCTCCCTCTCTCTGTCTCCCTGTTTCAGTGTCTCTCTCCCTCTCTCTGTGTCTCACATTCTCTCTCCCTCTCTCCCCCCCCCCCCCCCCAAGAGACCCGGCTTCATCCCATCCTCTGTTCTTCCACGGTTTCTGTCAATGGCCGGGGTGTGAGGAGCTATTTGAGGAATACAAAGACTTTCTGGTGTAGGTATTACGTGTATGTACGTGTCTGAGTGTGGGCGCGCGTGTGTGAGTGCGTGTGTGTGTCTGTGCATATTAGTTCCCGCTGTACCAGCCTGGCTCATCGGCAGGACCTGCAAGGGCCGACCAGTCACTGGGGGCAGGGAATCCCCCCCACCCTCAGCTCCTTTTAACCCGGCAGCCAAAGCACTAACTAACTAACTAACTAACTAACTAACGGTTCCTGGCTGGACAAGCAGCGGGAAAGCTTGTAATAATTCCCCTGCTCCCGAAAAATCGTTCACTCAACCCACGCCACGTTTCGCTCACAAAACACAGTCAATTCACTTTCCAGTAGATCCTGTGAAGCGCTTTGAGACGCCTCGCCGACGCGACAAGGCGCTGGGTCGAATGCACGGATTATTACAATTATTATTACTGTTAAGCGGGTGCCTAATTGGCTGGGGTGTAATCGATCGACTGAGCGAGCTGTGTGTTTGATGACAGGCACCTCGACGACGCCCACTGTCTCGATGAGAGAAGCACAGCCCAATGTCTCATTCAGAAAGAGAAAGTTTACCAGTTGGAACAAAAGGTAAACAAAAATATAATAACCTGCTGGTGAAAGAAGACCGAGGTCCATCCAGTTTCCCTCTCACACACCGAACTCCATCACCCCAGCCCTCGCCAGGCCCCACTGGCTCCCCCTCACCCCCTAAACCCCGTCCCCCCATCACCCCAGCCCTCGCCAGCCCCCACTGGCTCCCCATCACCCCCTAAACCCCGTCCCCCCATCACCCCAGCCCTCGCCAGCCCCACTGGCTCCCCCTCACCCCCTAAACCCCGTCCCCCCATCACCCCAGCCCTCGCCAGCCCCCACTGGCTCCCCCTCACCCCCTAAACCCCGTCCCCCCATCACCCCAGCCCTCGCCAGGCCCCACTGGCTCCCCATCACCCCCTAAACCCCGTCCCCCCATCACCCCAGCCCTCGCCAGACCCCACTGGCTCCCCCTCACACACTACACCCCGTCCCCCCCATCACCCCAGCCCTCGTCAGCCTCCACTGGCTCCCTATCACCAAACGGATCGACTTCAGGCTCCTCTCACTCGCCACAAATCCCTTCGCCTCACCCCCTCGCTCCCCACGGTGACACGTTTGTGACTATTCTGCTCTCTCTCTCTCTCTCTCTCTCGGTGCAGTTGGTTGTTGAGAAGGGTAGACTCCTTGCCATGCGTACACAGCTGAGAGTGAAACACTCCGAACTGGATAGTCAGGTGAGTATCAACAATAATAATAATAATTGACCCGGCGCCTTATCACGTCGTCGAGACGTCTCAAAGCGCTTCACAGGATACACTGATGGACTGTGTGCGTAGTCAAGAAATTTGCCTGAGGTTTCTCCCTGACCTGTCCCACCCGCCCGTCCGGGAATCAAACCCGGGTCCTCTCGCTTGCGAGGCGAAGGGCTCTAACCGCTGAGCTGCAGGACGGCACAGATGAAACGTTAACGTGGATTAACCCTTTCCGTTCCTCGCCACAGAAACCAGGGGAGGCCGGAGCGAGCAGCGTGTTCGAGGAGAACAGAGTGGGTGTCAGAAACAGCGGGAAAGCTTGGACTCAAGTCTGGGACAAACACACCACTCTCTACCCAGGTAACAAACCGCTCGGCTGGCTCCGGCCACCTCAAGAAGTCCCTCGACCCCCCCCGGCCCACCACCTATGGCCACCTAGGAACAGGAGGAGGCCATTCAGCCCCTCTCGAGCCCGTTCCGCCGCTTCCATTAGATCGTGGCCCATCTGTACCTCAAGTCTCCATCGACCCGCCCTGGTCCGGTGTGAACCCTCGAAAAAAAAACCTGACCGAACAAAACATCTGCCCGACTCGGTCTGGACACTGCGGACGGATCGGAAATTAATCTGATTTGTTCTCGAAGCAAAACCCCACTTTCTTTCTGCTCCCTCCACCCGCCCACCCCGGGAGCCCGATCCCCGCGTCAGCGAGCGCAGATTTGTTCTGAATCGTTTCTGCTGTTCGGTAGCTGACTTTAAGCCGACGGGGACTCCCCCCACCCACCCGCGGAAGCTCGGTTTTCTCTCCAGCCGCCCTATGGAATCGGGCCTTCGGTCGCCCTCCCACCTCTACTGCCTTCCCTCACCCCTGCACCCCCCCACCCCCCGACGCTCGCCGCCCCCCGACACCTGACTGTTCAGCGCTTTGGGGCATTCCCCCAACGTGAAAGGCGCTCTATAAATGACATTTTGTTATTGGTGGTGTTGTTGTTGTAGTAAACACCTCAAGTGATCAACCCCACAACCTTCTAAATGCAAAGGGCACCGTATTTACCCCTCTTTGGCTAAAGACCACCCTCCTCTGCAGCACCTACACTCTCTCTCTCTCGCTCTCCCTCCCAGATGGACGCCGCGGAAGTATGTTTTTTGCGACGTCTTAATGTTGTCTTTTAATTTCCATTCAGACGTGAGTTCGAATCTGGAATATTACAGAGTCTATAATATCAGGCCACCGTTTACATACGCAGCTCTGATCAGATGGGTAAGAAAATAATAATACTCGCGTCAACACCACCATCATCATTAACACCAACACCACCATCATCATCAACGCCAACACCAACATCATTAACACCAACATCATCATTAACGACATCATCTTCATTAACGACATCATAGCCATCATCATAAACACAAACGGCATAAAACATCATCATCATCAGTAACAACCCTTCCATGTGACACAGCGCCTCATCACAGCTTCGAGACGTCTCAAAGCGCTTCACAGGATACACAGGAACACGGGCATTAGCAGCAGAGGGAGGCCATTCGGCCCCTCGAGCCCGTCCCGCCATTCAATAAGATCACGGCTGATCTTCTAACCCAACTCCGTCTGCCCTCCTTGTCCTCATGTCCCTTCATCCCTCTGTACACTGTAAAGTGTAGTGACTGAGGACAAAACGCGGCAGGCAATGGCGCCCAACGACGTCCCATAGTCGTGGGTGGATTGAGTCACTGCAGTGTTATTTTTTCGAGGGGAAACAAACCCAGATCCTCTCCCTTGCGATGAGAGAGGTCTAACCATGAAACTACAGTATGTCTCTCCCTCTCTCTCTGACCCGCGCTCTCTCTCTCTCTCTCTCTCTCTGGGTTTCAGGCTATTCTGGAGACCAGTGAGAAACAGATGACTCTGAACGAAATCTATCTCTGGTTCACAAGGAAGTTTGCTTTCTTTCGCAACAACACAGCTACCTGGAAGGTAAATAATCTAATAATCCTCGCATTTGACCCGGCGCCTTATCATGTCGTTGAGACACCTCAAAGCGCTTCACAGGGTACACCATACAGTGCAGTGACCGTGTGTTTTGTGGGCGAAACGCAGCAGCCAACTGCGCCCAGCGACGTCCCCACGAATAGTCGTGGACTGAGCGACCACATTATGATCCCGCTGGTAAACAGAGGCGTGTGTGTGCGCGTGTGGAGTAAGGAAACTTGCGTAAGGCTTCGTTCTGCCAGCCTGGGGAATAAAACACGTGACATTTACACAGAGCCTTTCACGTCGGGAGGACGTCCCAGGACGCTGGGCTGGACAGTCAGGGGTTTGGACCCGAGCTGGGGGTTGAGATCAGCAGTGGGTGGAGGGCAGGGAGGGTGGGGGTAGGAGGGTGACCGGTGGAAGGGCCGGGAACGTGGAATGGAGCAGACTGGATATGACCAATTAACTCGGCTGTTGTTGACGTGGGTTTGTGTGTGCAGAACGCGGTGAGGCACAATCTGAGTCTCCACAAGTGTTTTGTGAGAGTGGAGAATATGCGAGGAGCTGTGTGGACAGTGGACGAAATGGAGTTTCAGAGACGGAAATCACCGAAAATCACCAGGTAAACCCGATAGATCAACTGGTATAGGAAGTCGTAATTTCTGATTCAAAGAACCCAGGCATCATACATCATATTCGGCACATCCTGCCTGTGTAGACGCACAGTGTAGAGGAGCTTTACTGTGTCTCTAACCCTGACCTGGGAGTGCGGACGGACGCACAGTGTAGAGGAGCTTTACTGTGTCTCTAACCCTGACCCGGGAGTGTGGACGGACGCACAGTGTAGAGGAGCTTTACTGTGTCTCTAACCCTGACCTGGGAGTGTGGACGGACGCACAGTGTAGAGGGAGCTTTACCGAAAGCCTGACCACCGATGGCGGGCTGGAGGGGAGGGTGGGTGGGTTGTGAAACAGGCGACTGCCCCACTATTCACCACAAGCTTTACTTTTGCCTCCAGCAGAGACATGCAAATGAGATGGGAGTCGCACTAACTTGCCCCCCCCCCACCCTCCTCAAGGAAAAAGAAAAATGGCCGGAGACTCCAATCCATCCCGGGGTGAGCCGACAAAAGCCCGAGCGACCAACAATTATGAACGTTTTTTTGGGGGGGGTGGGTGGGGGGACGAAGGGGGCGAGGATTTGTTTGCTGACACCCCCCGCCACACAATTCCTAACATGGAGTCAAAGCCAATTTGCCCCTCCTCACCTTGTCCCCTTTGTGTAATCCCCCTGCAGCTCAGGGGTACGAGCTCTCGCCTCGCAACCCAGAGGACCCGGGTTCGATTCCCACCCGGGTGGGCAGGAGAAAACCTGAGACAAGTTAAATGCGAGGTTTATTACCGCTAACTAAACAGTGTGTGTGTGTGTGTGTCTGTGCTGAGCCAGTCTGCAACCTTGGGGTCTTGTTTGACCCTCAACTCTCCTTTCTACCCCACATTCGCACCATGACCCGCTCTGCCTTCCCGTCACCCCTGCAACGTCGCCCGGACTCCGACACTGTCTCACACCGCAGCCTCCGAGACCCTCACACACGCCTTCATTACTTTGAGGCTCGAGTACGCAAACTCACTGCATGTCGGCCTCCCCCAACCCCTCCCTCCGCAGGCTGCAGATCATCCAGAACTCTGCAGCCCGTGCCCTCGCCCCCACCGGGCTCACCGACCCCCCCCATCCTCGCCCGACTCCAGTCCTCCCATCACACAGAGGATACAGTTCAAGATCCTGGTCCTCACCTTCAAAGCCCCTCCATGGTCTCGCTCCCCCCGACCTCTGCCACCTCCTAACCCCCTACCACCCTGCTCGCCGCCTCCGCTCAGCGGGCTCCGGGCTGCTCGCTCGCCCCACCATCAGCAGGCGGGCCGTCAGCCACTCTGCCCCCACCCTCTGGAACTCCGTCCCCCAGTCCCTCCGCCCTCCTCGCCCCCTCCAAGACCCGTCTCAAGTCCCTCCTCTCGGACCGTGCTTTCGACCTCCCTGCTTCCCCCTCCCTGCCCTCCCCCACCCCGACCCTCAGCTCGGGTCCGTAACTCTGTCTGTCCAGCGCCGTGGGGACGTCCTCCCGACGTGAAAGCCGCTGTGTCAATGCCATTTTGCTGCTGTGTGTGTGTGTGTGTGTGTTGAGCAAGGAAACGTGCCTCAGGTTGAGCACCGTCCTGTCCCGCCCGGGAATCGAACCCGGGTCCTCTGGTTTGCTTCTGAAGCGCACACCGACTGCGCAACGGGACTCGAGACTCGCCGAGCGATTGGATTAAACCGCTCTCGCCCTCTCTCTCTCTCTCTCTATCCCTCGCCTCGGAAATATATCCGCCGGCGGTGTCCGAGCGCGGCAAAGAATAAATAAAAGTTACGTCTAAAACGCCGCGCTGACCGCTGCTGCCTCGTTTATTACAGCGGTACTGGACACCGAGAGAGAGAAATTTCCTTCTCTTTTACTTTTGCTCTCGCTCCCTCTCCTTTTCTCTCTCTCTCTCCCTCTCTCTCTCGCGTCCCTCACCCCCCCTCTTCCTCGGCGGTTTGTGTGGGGGACGGCCACAGCCTTTCGCCCGCAAAACGCAGTCGCACTTGCACCCCAACCTGTCTCCTGTGAAGCGCTTTGAGACGCCTCGACGAGGCTCACTGTTAAACAGAGAGAAAGGGAGAGAGAGAGAGAACGACAGAAAAAGCGAGAAAGAGAGGGGGAGGGAAAGAAAGAGAGAGAGACAGAGAGGACGACAGAAGAAGCGAGAGAGGGGGAGAGAAAGAGAGAGAGAGAAAGACAAAGAAAGAGAGGGAGAGAGAGAACGACAGAAAAAGCGAGAGGAGGAAAGAGGGAGAGAGAGAGAGGGAAAGAGAGAGAGAGAGGAGAGAGAACGTGAGGATAAATAAAGGCAGTTTCCGGCTGATGTTGTCACCGTAAGGTTCCCACTGGTCACTGCCACATACTCACCTCCACCGTCTTCCCCCCCGACCCCGGCCCTCGCGCTCTCTCTCTCGCGCTCTCTCTCTCTCTCGGTCCCTCCGTCCGCACGGCTCCGTCCAACAGGTAGGGGTTCAAACCCCCCATCCGTCCGCCTCTATTAACTCTCCCTCTCTCCCTCCCCTCACACACTCCCTCCCTCACACCCCTCCTCTATCTCCCTCCCTCCCACACTCCCTCCCTCCCCTCCTCTATCTCAGGGTTACACCCCTCACCTCGAAAGCCACAGTCCCTGTAGCTCAGGGGTTAGACCCCTCACCTCACACCCCACAGCCCTTGTAACTCAGGGGTTAGACCCCTCGGAAACACAGTCCCTGTAGCTCAGGGGTTAGACCCCTCACCTCGAAAGCCACAGTCCCTGTAGCTCAGGGGTTAGACCCTTCACCTCACACCCCATAGCCCCTGTAGCTCAGGGGTTAGACCCCTCACCTCGAAAGCCACAGTCCCTGTAGCTCAGGGGTTAGACCCCTCGCACCCCATAGCCCCCATTACTCAGGGGTTAGACCCCTCGCCTCAGAAACCACAGCCCTTGTAGCTCAGGGGTTAGACCCCTCACCTCTCACACCCCATAGCCCCTGTAGCTCAGGGGTTAGACCCCTCACCTCGTAAGCCACAGTCCCTGTAGCTCAGGGGTTAGACCCCTCGCCTCTCACCCCACAGCCCCTGTAGCTCAGGAGTTAGACCCCTCGTAAGCCACAGTCCCTGTAGCTCAGGGGTAAGACCCCTCGCCTCGGAAACACAGCCCCTGAAGCTCAGGGGTTAGACCCCTCACCTCGTAAGCCACAGTCCGTGTAGCTCAGGGGTTAGACCCCTCGCACCCCACAGCCCCTGTAGCTCAGGAGTTAGACCCCTCGTAAGCCACAGCCCCTGTAGCTCAGGGGTTAGACCCCTCACGTCACACCCCACAGTCCCTGTAGCTCAGGGGTTAGACCCCTCGCCTCACACTCCACAGTCCCTGTAGCTCAGGGGTTAGACCCCTTGCCTCACACTCCACAGTCCCTGTAGCTCAGGGGTAAGACCCCTCCCCTCGCACCCCACAGTCCCTGT